AAAAACTTAAATTTAACAGGAATAACTAGGTTTTTGTATTTTATTTTATATACAATGTTAAGTTTAAGTTTGTATTTGTTAACTTATGTAGTCATAGTTGATCGTGGAAAGTGAAATTGAAAAAATTATAAACGGAAGAAGTGTATTTAGTTGTCGGTTTGTCAGGTTAACCACTAAGACCATCATTATCTATAAAATTTGGTGGGTATCATTAGATATAAAATTATTAAAACACACATTTTCTCTTCCTTTTACTCAATTTTATACCTTCTCTTTCATCATTTTATTCAACTTTTATTAATTTTATATTTAAACACTCTCTCATCATTTTAAGAACACTCTCTAAAAGTTCTTATTTAAAAACACTCTTCTTTCTTTTACTCAACTTTTATTAATTTTATATTTAAACACAACCCAACTAAAGTTTAAACTCTTTCCAAAAGTATCAACCCATTGATACAAAAACACTCTCTCTTCAAAAGTATCAACTCATCTCCTCTTTTTACTCAAATTTTATTAATTTTATATTTYAATAYAYTYCATTATTTCAACYAAAAAYAYTYTYTTTCTTYYTTTTACTCAAATTTTAATAATTTTATATCTAATAATACCCACCAAATCTCATGGATAATGATGGTTCGCAGAAAACCAGATGTCAAAGCCGCTGGTCAACGTGTTTTCTGTTTTGTTGTATTGAATTTATTTATTTTTTTGAAAACAGATAAATATTTTATTACTCTTTTAATTACAAGTCACGTAGACATATATCTTGTCTTTGTTGTATAGAATTTACTTTTACACTTCTTCTATTTTAGTGAAATTGAAAAAGAAATAGAAGAAAAAGAATTTACTTTTACACTTCTTCCATCTATTTTTTTTTCTTTCAATTTCACTAAAGTGAAGAATTCTTTTCTTTATAACCACTAAGAGCAAGTTCAACCGGACTCCATAACACCATAATTGATGTAATAATCACTCCAATCGAATGATATAATTGACGGTGATTTTTTTAAAATGTTTTGTGAACAGTATCACACTGTTCACAAAACACTAAAAAATATATTATTTTAATTCTATTTTTAATTTAGTAAAATAATTAAGTTATAGTTTATGAACTAAAAAAATAAATATACCTATAATAATTTTGTATTTCAATATTTTATTTGTTGTTTACATTTTAAATGATCTAATATTTGTAATTGTAATTTGAATTTACATAAAATATCTAGATTAATTGATAAATTTATTAAAATTAAAAATACATATTAAATTCAGTTAAAACACTGAAAATATAAAATTACATAATTA